ATAATCGATTAAAACAACTAAGAGATTTTTCCGAATGTTTTAATCGATTAAAACAAGTATGTTATCAGTTAAAATAACTTAGAAAATTTTATGAAATCTTTTGGCAGAATTCTAATCGATTAAAATGCGATTCAATCGATTAAAATAACTAAGAGGATTTTTTCCAAAGTATTTTAATCGATTAAAATAGATTGTTATCAGTTAAAATCACTTAGAAAGTTTTATGAAAACCTTTGGCAGTATTTTAATCGATTAAAAGGCAAAACAATCGATTAAAACAATTTGAAGGACTTTTTACAAAGTGTTTTAATTGATATAAACGTTGTCGTATCAGTTAAAACAAATCTGAAAAATGATCAAGAACATTTTAACAGATTAAAAGAAGTTTTAACAGATTAAAACAAGACTTTTAACAGATTAAAAGATTATTTTAACAGATTAATTAAACCAGTAGTTTGGAAAATCTTCTATATAAACAGAATTTCTTGAATATTTTAAAACACATCTTTTGGCAATCAATCAAGCAATCATAAGTGCTACTTTCAAGAGAGAATCACACAAGTTTTGTGAAGTTTTTAGAAGTTCTTTCTTGAGGCAATTTTTGCATTCTTTTGGTGAAGAAACTTATTCTGCAGAGCTGCATAAACCTGGTTTTGGTGTTCTAGTTTCTTCTCTTGTTTCTTTTCTTTTCTATATTGTGTGTACCTTGAAGTGTGGGCACTGGTTTCTGTGGCTGGAATTTGGCTGCAGGGTTGTTCAAGAACTGGAAATTGTTTTTTGGTGAAGGTTTAGGTGCAAGGACTAGAATTTTGGTTCTTGTGGTAGATTGAGTGTGTGATTGTAGTTGTAATCTGTAAAACGTTCAATCTAGTGGAACCCAGTTGGAATTTGGCTGGAAACTGGACGTAGCCCTGGGATTGGGTGAACCAGTATAAATCTTGGTTGTATCTTTCTAAACTTTGCTCTCTTTAATTTTGTCACTGCCTTTACTTTGATTGTTTGTTGTGTTTGATTCAAGAATTGGTCAGAACTCTTAATCTTTGAAATAGATAATCTGTAAATTTTGAAAATTTTTCAAAGATCAATTCACCCCCCCTCTTGATCTCAGCCTACTTTTCTAACAATTTATTTCAAAAATTTTTAACAAGTAGTTTTTCCATGAAAAATCTTGGAAGTGATTAGGTTTTGAGTTGGGTGAAACAGAGTTGCTATGTCCGCGTAGCAACTTTGAAAAATCATATAAAATCGAGATTGAAGTGTTTTGAGATAAAATTTTTATCATAGTTGTGAATGTATGTGTATGTTAAGTATAGTTAATTTCATAATTTTATGACCATTATTTTATTTTATAAAAATATATTTTTGAGTAATGCCCTGGTATTAGAATATTCAAAATGATGTTATTCCTGTTTTCATTTCCTATTGCTACTGCTGCTGTTTTATTTTATTGTTGCTGCTGTCTATACTATTTTGGTGCAGAATTTGTGGGAGTTATATGTTAAAATCCTTAAATGGAAGGAAAAAAATACTTGAACTATGATGTGATGTAATTACATGATGAGTTTAGGTATGTTTGATCTGCGATGAGATGTTGTATGCATATGTGTGCATATAGGTGAGGGAACAATATGAGTTCTTTGATAGCCGTCAAGCCAGAATGATTTCTTTACCTATAGGACTTTGTCGAGTCATGATAAAGGGGTTTCGTTCCTCCGTAAGTCTTTAGCATGAGCTTAGCAAGAGTGCTCCATCCAAGGCTTTGTCAAGCGAGTGTAGTTGTTGCTAGTAAGTCTATGGAAAACAGGGGAAGAGACTTTTTTAAGAGGCGTTGGTGCGCAGGAAAAGTATGGGGGTTGGCTATGAGAGAATTTTATATCGTCTATTTTTACTTGGTGGAAATATGATAAAGTGTTATTGTTGTGGTTTTGAAAACATGTACTTATGGATATTATGAATGAGTTTTATTATATTATGATAATGCTAGGTGAATTATATGTTGACATGCATGACATGAGATGGGATACATGTTTTGCTCACCCTTGCATGTTTGTGGTGTTGGTTTCCACCTACGATGATCGTATGACTTTTGTTATACGGGAGTAGATGTTGATGCAGATACTGTTAGAGAAGCTTAGCGGTGAGGAGCTCGCGGAGAAGCTTTTTGAGAGTTTTTTAAGACATTTGAAAATGTCTTTTTGAATAAAATGTAATAGTGTAGTGATTTTGAGTTTGCACTTGAAAGATTTGATATTAAGTCTCATTTGATGATTTAAGTTAGTTGTTTGGATGAACCATATTTTATTTTGACGAATAAAGAGGTTTCAGATGAATCTTTTATCAAGTGTTATTTGAGATAAAATAATTGTGGAAAAAAAATTTACACGTGGCATCTCGAAAGGGGTGTTACAGGAGGCAAATATGTTCGCTTACCATGAGACTGTGGAGCTAATTGTTCTTTGATACTCATTTCAACCATGTCCAGATGAGCATTGACACCGTCTTTTGTCTTGTCTTGAATATTAAGAAGTGTTCCAATAGTACTGTCACACATTTTTCTCTACATGCATGACATTTATACAGTGTCTCACATCAAGCACTCTCCAATATGGAAGATAAAAAAAATATCGATATTTTCTTTCATATGCTTCTTGTTGTGGCTTTCTTTTGTGTTTTTCCAAATAAAACTTTTATGTCTTTCACGCGTTCATATACTTGTGATCCACTTAAGATCGTTGGAGCTACTTCATTTTCTTGACATCCATTAAATATTTTTTTCAATCTACGAAAAGGATATTTAGAATTTAGAAATCTCCTATACCCACTGATTTTCTTCCGTGTTGTAATTGATGGTGACATGTGCCTGCTTCACATATAGGGCATGCTTTGTGACCTTAATGCTATACCCACTCAAGTTACCATATGTTGGAAAGTCATTGATTGTACAAAATAGCATTACACGCAACTTAAAAGAGTCATAAGTGTATCCGTCAAACACATAAATACCTTCCTCCCATAACTTCTTCAAATCTTCAATCAATGGGCTTAAATAAACATCAATGTCATTTCCTGGTTATCTTAGACCTGAGATCATCAAATATAACATAACATATTTATGTTTGATACATAACCATGGGGGTAAGTTGTAAATTACTAACAAAATAGGTCATGAACTATGTTTACTACTTAAGTTTCCATATGGATTCATTCCATCTGTAGCAAGTCCAAGCCTAATGTTTCTTGGATCATTACTGAAATTTGGGAACATGGAATCAAATTTTTCCATTGCAAAGAATTTGTTGGATGCCTTAGATGACCGTCTTTTTTACGATCATATGCATGTCATCTGATTAGTTTTGCATCATTTGCATTGGTGAATAATATTTTCAACCTTGGAATTATAGGAAGATACCATAATACCTTTGTAGGTGGACCATTCTTAACATTTGATTCAGAATCACCATCTCTCTGTTTGTATCGTGATACGCCACATCGTGGACATTCGTGTAATTTGTCAAATTCATTTTTGTACAATATAAAATCATTCCGACATGCATGTATTTTTTTATACTCCATACCCATTGGAAATAATATTCTTTGCATCATAATTACATGTCGGTAATGTGTTACTTTCAGGAAGCATGTCACTAAGCAACTCAAGTAATTTTGTGAAACTTTTATCAGTCCACCCATTTCTTACCTTCACGTTGAACAATTTCAATATTATGAAAATCATGTGAAATTAATGCATCTCGGATACAAAGGTTTCTTTGCATCATTGCACAAATCATCATGCACATGTGCACGTTGGAACACATCATGTCCAACATCATGAATCATTTCTTCAAGTCGATCATCCATCTCTACATCAATTTCTATTTCAGACACATGTACATTTGACATGTCTATTAATTCACCATGACATGTCCACTCTGTGTAACATTTTAGGAAACCATCACATAGGACATACTTACGTATAACTTCTATTGGTATTCTCCGCTCATTCAAACAATTAACACAAAGGAAGTAGTATCTTCCACTATTATATGGAACATTGTGTTTTGCAAATTCAAGAAATTGTTCTACTCCATTCTCATATTCATCGGTTGTACGTCTAAGATTGATCCAACTTCGATCTATGAATAAGTTCTACAACAACAACTAGACGTGTGTTATTAATTTTTAGAAAAAACATTTTAGAGGATTTCTCCAAAACTAGATCGGAAGACACATATTTTACTATTATATTGAAGCCTAAGGTCCCATAAATTCTGCTAATATATATTAAAGAGGATCCCTTATTTTAAAGTTTCTAATTCTTATAATTTATTTTTCATACTATAATAATAAAAATAATAACTCATTTTAACTATTATATTAAAAATAAATAATAAAATCATTAAAGCGAATAAAAGCATTTTTTTTCTCGAGTTTCACCGTCCTAAAGATAGCTTTGGACTTATTTCTTCTCGACACTCAATGGTAAAGAAAAACACTTATCCGCCCATAATGCTTCTCATGCCACACACCCAATTGTGTTTTCACTTTTTAATACAAAATTAAGTTTTCAAGTACACTTACAAACATGGGGATGCAAATTATAAAGTTTGATCTTTCTTGGACATTCTCTCTAAATTAAAATATGTATAAATATTGACCTTTCTGATATTATTTTAAAGATCATATCTTGTCAGACAATTTTAATGAGGTAATGAAAATGAATCTAGTTAATACAAGAAAAAGCAAGTAGTAATACCATATATACATATTGTTTTGTTTTTATGTTAAAGTGAATTAAACAAGTTTCTAATGCTACTGTATCACTTGTTTAGTGAAACTAAAAACAAATAATAGTGTCAGTTTATATGGTTAGACATACATACTATTAATATTAATGAACTACTATTAAATTTGTCTTTTGTGTTTCTGCATTGATTCAGGCCATAGCAAAAATCAAGGCAATAGGGATGATATGAGGCCTAACAACCATCACTGGTTTCGTCATGTATTCAAGAGCTATGATCTCTATGATTTTCCTTGGCTATCTTGGTGAGATGGAACTAGTTGGAGGGTCTCTCTCTATTGGTTTTGCCAACATCACTGGCTACTCTGTGATCTCTGGATTAGCCATGGGGATGGAGCCAATTTGTGGACAAACTTATGGAGCAAAGCAATGGAAGCTACTTGGCTTGACACTACAGAGAACGATGCTCCTTCTCCTCTCAACATCCATCCCCATCTCATTCATGTGGCTTTACATGAAGAGAATCCTCTTGTGGCCAGGCCAAGACCACAAAATAGCATTAGTGGCACAAACTTTCATCATTTTCTCTATACCTAACCTATTCTTGCTCTCGCTTCTCCATCCTCTAAGAATCTATCTCAGGACTCAAAGTATCACATTGCCATTGGCATATTGCACAAAGGAAGCAATGAAGATGATATATATTTAGATTCCTCTACCACAGATTTTGTTACACAAACTTCACTCTACGAATATTGGTTTTTGGAACTTCATTTGCCAAGTTATGATGATGCTTTGATTGTTGAAGGAAGGATACTACTTTATTTCTAGGACCTTAAGCTGCTCTAGTTTTGGCAATTCAGGAACCTTAGTTGTCTCTAAAGTAGCCATAGGAAATAGAAGGACCTTACTTAGAGTACATAGAAAGACAATTTGGAAAACCAGTTTTGTTATCTGGTCCACTAGTCCCCTAGCCATCTACGGATATATTTAGTATAATTTCTATTACTTGAGGGATTACTTTATTATGGGAACTTTAGCACAGAGAGAGAGCAATAATTATACAAGTAACCTCTAAAATGTGGAGTATTATTTGTTTACTTCAGGATAGAGTATTATTTTAGAGATAGAAGGATGGCTTATTTTATTTTGCTGCGATGGCAAACACAATCAATTTTCTTTGACTTTTTTAAATATTCATACAATTCATATGCTTTATGATATTATAAAGAAATAGCAACGTGGATAATATCTAAATAATAGTTATGTTTTATATGAATTACTCTGTCATCCATAATTCAACTGGACTTGGTGGTGGGCAGTTCTAGGTCTGACACTTTGTTTCTAGGAGTTGGGTTCCAATCACAGCCTATGCATTTTGTGATTTCGTTATTCTGGTTAAAACAGACCTGCCATTTGAAATGTAATTAATTGGGAAGGAGGATCCACTCTTGGAATATAAAAAAGTTTTTTGTTCTGTTTTAGAATGTTGTATATATTACTCAGTTAAACCGAAACAGTTCATGCACATTTCTACCCCAACCTATTGTCCCATTCCAAATCTTAAACTATGGATTTGGCAGTGTCGATTCCAATACAAAGAAAATGATATTTAATTACCTGATTTAATAAACTTAAGTAAGTATATTTTCCATTGATACAAAATCCATTCAATAGTCTTTTAGGCCTTTACATAAGTTAACAATCAGATGCACTATTCCAATATTCACACCTATAACTCACAGTTTTTAGAAAGCCACTTCTTCTTTGACCTAATTCCTTTAGTTTCAATCATCAAATCCTAAACTTCAAATAAAGAAAAATAAAAGCTAAATATAAACAAGTAAACTTGGAAATCGGAAATTGTCTTACTTGATCCTTTAGGATGTATTTCCTAGAGATGTCTCTAATTGAGAATATTCAGCACTGTCACTGTCCCGCGAACACTAACAAAACCTTTTCAAACACCTACCACATTCAATCACTCCATATTTTTTATCATCATATACATATTTTAAACAATGAAATCAAATTTTAAACCAAAAATAAAAACTCGTCCGCGAAATTTGAAATTGCTAATAGGTGTGAAAATTGAAGGAGAGACAATAGAGAAAATAGAGGAATGTAGACCCCAAATCTTGTCCGGCCTCAAAATAAAGAGCAGAAGACCTCCAATTTGAAGATGGACAAGGCCTAAAAGGTCCATATGATAGACTAATAGGTCCCATATTAGAGTAGGAAGGCTTTTTGTATAGAAAAAATAAGGAATTCCACCTAGAAGGTCAAGACTGCCGTTTCGCTTGGCGAGACCGCCGTCTCGCCATCGACAAAGGACGAGACCACCGTCTCGTTTGGCGAGACGACCTTCTCGCCATTTGTCAAGGGTGAGACGGCTGTCTCGACCTGACAGGCGTGAATCCCTATAAAAGGAGGGCGCGTTCCCCTCCTTTTAACAGCATTCTCCAACTTTTCCTTCTGTAACTTTTCTAAATTCTTTCCCTAGGATCCCTCTGAAGCATTTCCGGAGTTTCTTAGCATTCTTAGAGGATATTCTGTAGCGTTGCGAGGAAGAGCGACCAATGTTGTAGAGTGAAGGATTGCCAAAAAGCATCTTGCTTCAAGAATAGTAATTACGAAAGCTTGCTTCGAAGGTTTCCATACTTTCTCTCTTTCTTTTACCGCTTTTTCTTTTATCCGTGCATTAGCTGTTAGGGTCATGTAGTCAATATTTTAAATTCTGCAAATAAATAAAGGGTAAAAGCGTCATTTTAAAGGTTTATTTATGAAATAAACAACCCATCATAGGGAACCCGAAAGGGGCGTTGTAGGGAAGCTAATACCTTCCCTACACGTAACTAACTCCCTTACCCAACTCTGGTTATAATGACCAAAGTTGGTTTTTCAAAACCAACGCCTTCCTTTTTTTTTTCCTTTTCCAATGTTTCCGGATAAACCATTGGTGGCGACTCCAGAACCCATTTTTGAAAACCTCGCTTTTAGATCCAGCCCGGTTATCGGACAACCTAAAGGCGTTGTAACATCACTTTAAAATGCGAGTCAAAGTCGGAATCCATCGCGTCACTCCGACCACCTCTTTTGACGGCGACGACAAGGAAGAAGAACTATAATGTAAACAGAGGAAAGAAAATTAGAACTCGAACAAAGGCAATGCATGTTGATGATAACGAAAAGCGAAATGTGCAGTGTGGAAGAAGATTATCATACCACGGGAAGGGGAAGAAGAAGAAAGCAAAATGCGATGGAGATCTGGAACTCGAACACAGGCAATGGGAGTCGACAATAGTGAAGATAAAACTGTGCAGCGTGGAGAAGGATGAAGAGAATGTGGCAAGACGAAGAAGAGAACACAACACACGGGGATCAAACCTAAATGTGAAACCCTAAAAACTTACTATGTCATTTATGAAAAAAAAAAAAAACACAGACATAGTAAGTTACTTACTATGTCGTTTCAATGTATAATCAACATAATAAGTTTTATATCTAATATTACAAAAATATCACCAAGGGACTTACTATGTCTATTCTCATTATACCCGACATAGTAAACGACTTACTATGTTGGTTCATTGTATAACCAACATAGTAAGTTTTATGTCTAATATTACAAAAATGCCACCGAGGAACTTACTATGTTTGTTCTCATTATACCCGATATAGTAAGTGACTTATTATGTCGGTTCATTGTATAACCGACATAGTAAGTTTTATGTCTAATATTACGAAAATGACATCGATGAACTAACTATGTATGTTCTTATTATACCTGACATAGTAAGTGACTTACTATGCTTGTTCTTCTTACAAATGACATAATAAGTATTTTTAATATTACAAAAATGTCATTGTTTCACTTATTATGACGGTTTTCTTACAATTGTCATAATAAGTCATCGTTAAATGCATTTTTTTCACTAGTGCTATCCAAAAGCTTGAAGTGGAGAATTCCCAAAGGGAGAGAAGGCAATCATATTTACCAAATTCACAAGAGGAAGATGATAGAAGATACCATGGGAGGAGACAATCTAGGTGCACCAACACTCCAAGAAGGAACAACATCTATGGAGATAATGATCCAAAAGTCTACCTACACTGGGAGGCTAAAGTGGACCAAATCTTTAATGTAAACCCAATAGGGGACCAGGAACAAGTAGATTTAGTTGTAGTAGAATTTGAGGGATATGCCATGACTTGGTGGCACAAGGTTTGTAATGATAATTACCAAGGGCCACCCGCGGCTTCTTGGATGGACATTAAACATTTAACATGCTAGATTTGTTCCTTCCTATAGGAGGGAGTTCCTGTTTAAGCTCCAACGACTTCAACAGGATAATATGTGTGTGAATGATTAATTCAAGGTGCTAGAATCTTTACTACTTAAGGTCGGTATGCATGATGAAACTAATGAGACTAAGGTAGCTAGGTTTGTTAGTGATCTTAGAAGAGATTGTTAGAATCGTGCAGCGGAATGTTCGCGTTGTCGGACAAAAACCAAGAGGGGGCGTGAATTGGTTTCTTAACAAAAATTAGGTTTTAAAAATTTTCCCAAATTTTTACCGATTAAAAATACTGTGTAAACGTAAATAGAATAGAGATAGAGTCTTACACAGGAGATTTATACTGGTTCAGATCAAAAGACCCTACATCCAGTTGCTAATCACTCAAACAGAGGATCAACGCTGTCACTATAATCAAAGTTGTTACAAACAGATAACAATTGAAAATACAAAGTAAAGAAAACACCTCTCTTGAAACCCACAAGAGATGAAGAACAAATTTCCCCAGAGACGGCACAACACATAATCCACCAAGAACTCCACTTAGTGATTCTTATCGCTTCTAGCCCACACCAGGTTCCAAAATCCCCTTTTTCCTCCAACAAACAGTTCTCTGGCATTCACAACACTTAACTTTTATTTGAAAAAGGTTGTTCAATTTTCTGAGAGCCTTAGAGAAGCTTAAGTAGAGAAATTAGGGTTTGGGAATTGGGATTTTCGGAACTAGAGAGTGTTAGAATCGCGCAGTGGAATGTTCGCGTGGTCGGACAAAAAACAAGAGGGGGGTGAATTGGTTTCTTAATAAAAATTAGGTTTTCAAAATTTTCCACAAATTTTACCGATTAAAAATTGTGTAAACATAAATAGGATAGAGATAGAATCTTACACAGGAGATTTATACTGGTTCGGATCAAAAGACCCTACGTCCAGTTGCTAATCACTCAAACAGAGGATTAACGCTGTCACTATAATGAAAGTTGTTACAAACAAATTACAATGGAAAAGATAAAGTAAAGATAACACCTCTCTTGAAACCCACAAGAGATGAAGAACAACTTTCCCCAGAGACAGCACAACACACAATCCACTAAGAACTCCACTTAGTGATTCTTATCACTTCTAGCCCACACCAGGTTCCGAAAGCCCCTTTTTCTTGCAACAAACCGTTCTCTAGCACTCACAACACTTAACTTTTGTATGAAAAAGGTTGTTCTTCTTTTCTGAGTGCCATAGAGAAGCTTAAGTAGAGAAATTAGGGTTTAGGAATTGGGAAATTCGAAACTAGGGTTCTTGGAAATAGGATTTTCGAAAATAGGGTTGATTTGAAGTTAAAAATCAAAATCTAACTGAAATAATCGATTAAATGAAATGTTAATCGATTATTACAGAGCCAAAATCAACAGAACCCCAA